TCTTGCATTGGGCCGACGCCAAAAGTTCCGTTATAGATCGAGAAAACAATCTGGAAGTTAAATGTAAACCCATCCAGTGGTTTGTGAGATACTTGTGTAGAGGCCTGTATTCGGAATGGGATCCCAAGGGTACCTTTGCAGCGGGTTTCGTGAGCCAATGAAAATCTCGTGAGAGCAGGTGACTAAAACAGACAGCTAGTCCCAAGATTGACAGTGTAATGGAGAGTACAATTAAGGTTGGTAACAGAGCATAACATTGGGACCGGGGTCTCAGGAGAACCATGGGAAATGAAAACTGGAAAGTTTAAAAAAAGGGTGGAAATTTCAATATGGAGATGGGGCAACTGTTGTAGGAAAAGCCAGTGATGAAAAACTTTGGTTGTAAAGACATTCGGTAGGGGTGGGATTAAAGGAATTGTAGTGAGCAAGGCTATGGAATGGCGCTCAAAGTTTAAACTGTAGCTCAGTATCTGTAAAACTGACTTTGGCCGGTTTTCTAAAGTCACATGGTCGTGGCGGCCATTTTCAATTCAGCAGATTCCAAAACTGAATTAGTCGGAAACAAACTGTTGCTGGTTACATAAAGATCAGTTCAGTTGTTCATGAGATATTTCATTGGTTTAGACTGACTTGAACTAGAATTGGTGATTTTATCTGTTTTGTTACTATTCATTTTTGTTCTTTATTTAGTTTTTTTATGAACATTTGTTTTAGTTTAATTGTGAAGCACTTTGTGGTTTTTGTCCTGTGGCGTATTTAGCTAACAAACACGTGAAAAACATTGGACGTAAGCTTGTCAACCATCTTCAGCTAAAACAAAAATGAAACAGTGATGTCATGATTCTAGAACTCAAGTCACTTGTCTCTGCCACGCTCTCTCATCTCGCTTTGCGTTGTTCCGTTTTTAGCTCTTCTCTGTTAATTGGCAAGCGTGAACGCATCGGAGAGAGAGAGAAGGAGTGAGCGCCTCGAGGAGGAATGTGCTATCACACCTCGCATCACTTTACATTCAGACGACAACTTCTCGACCCCCGTGACACGCACAAACACACCAAAACACCTCACAGGTTGCCGGCGCCAGCCTGAGAGTTCATTCGCTCGTAATGAGTTGAGAAAAACTTAAAAGAAATCAGCTTTAAGAGAGAAACTTCCTGAGAGCTGAGAGTTAAATCAGGACGCAGCTTCCTTTGAGATTTCAGAGATCGCCATCAGAAAACCTGTGTCATTTGTTAATTATTGAAATGCTGCGCTCGTATTTAATTATGCTCCTGAAATTGGCTTAAAAGCAAAAGGTTTTAATAATTCATGGCCGCTAACATCTGCTGTCAGAACGAGCTCAACCAGAGATCATTACTCAGGGCTATGATAAAAATCAGCAGGACTACAGATGAAAGAATAAAACTAAAACATGGGGCCAATTACCTTTGCTGAGGAAGGATGGGAAGTGAGGAATATAAACGCGTTTTATACGTTTAGTGTTGCCTGGGTGCCTTTTATAGGTAATGAAAATCTCCAGGGACAGGAAAAAGGGAGGAAATGATGATATGTGGGAGAATCGTGAAACAGATTTCATTCTTGTTACAAAGACGTGATCGTTAATGTCAATAAAACTCCAATTATACCTCTTAGGTGTGTTCTTGCTGTGTCTTGGTCCAATTATACCTCATCTCTCAACGGGTTTCTCTTTTAAATGATTTTTGTGTGAATCCAGGCCGCTTGAGCAGCTAAAAAAACACAAACTTCCTCATAAAACTGGTGTTTAATGTTGCTTTTAATCATTTTAGGGATTTTGTGGAGTCAGGTCATACATATTTGACATGTTACAATAAACAAAGCAGAATTCGTGGTTCAGTCAGTTATAGCAGGTGGCCCAGGTCCCGAAGAAGCCCCAGACCAACTGTTGCTATGGCGTTTCAGAGTTCGTTTTACTCCTCTGACCTAAACCAAAGGAGGTCTCCAGAGCTTCAGATGTTGTTCTGTGTTTTGTTGTTTAATGTCTTTAGAAGAAACCATGATGTGTTGCTTTTTGAGGTCGTTTAGCCGACTTCATGTTGTGGTTCTGTAGAAGTGGATCATCACAGTTGATTTATAATTAAAAAGGGGTGTAATTCACTTTTCCACAGAGGTCCAGGTTGGTTTAGCTGGACTTCTTCCTTTAATAAAATAAAATACTCATTAAGTTTGGAGAAGGCGTTAGACCGCGTCCCTCGGGGGGCCCTGTGGAGGGTACTCCGGGAGTATGGGGTACCAGGCCCTCTGATACAGGCTGTTAGGTCCCTGTATGACCGGTGTCAGAGCTTGGTCCGCATTGCCAGCAGTAAGTCGGGCTCGTTCCCAGTGAGAGTTGGACTCCACCAAGGCTGCCCTTTGTCACCGATTCTGTTCATGACCTTTATGGACAGGTCTAGGAGCAGCCAAGAAGTGGAGGATCGGGTCTCTGCTTATTGAAGATAAGACATGAGGTCCTAACCCAGGTGGAGGAGTTTTAGTATCTCGGGGTCTTGTTCACAAGTGAGGAAAAACTGGAGCGTGAGATCGATAGGCGGATTGGTGCTGCATCTGCAGTGATGCGGGCGTTGTACCGATCTGTCGTGGTGAAGAGAGAGCTGTGTCAGAGAGTCGATCTACGTTCCTACCCTCACCTATGGTCATGAGCTTTGGCTAGTGACCGAAAGAACGAGATCGCAGATACAAGCGGCCCAAAATGACTTCTCTGAAGAGTGGCTGGGCTCTCCCTTAGAGAAAGGGTGAGAAGCTTGGTCATTCGGGAGGGGCTTGGAGTAGACCCGCTGCTCCTCCACATCAAGAGGAGCCAGTTGAGGTGGCTCTGGCATCTGGTCAGGATGCCTCCTGGACGGCTCCCTGGTGAGGTTTTCCGGGCACGTCCAACCGGGAGGAGACCTAAAGGTAGACCCAGGACACGGTGGAGGGACTATGTCTCTCACCTGGCCAGGGAACGCCTTGGGGTTCCCCCGGAGGAGCTGGCCCAAGTGGCTGGGGAGAGGGAAGTGTGGGCCTCTTGCCTGACAATGGCACAACACTGACAGTTTTAGGCAGAAAATTAAAATTTTAAGTAAAATGCACAAAAGTGCTAAACTATTGACTACACATGTCTGCAGCACAATTAGACACACATTTATAGTTAACCAGAAAAAATAAGTTTATTTGGGGGTGACTTGCTCTTTAGTGTCTGATAATGGCATTCGTTAACTCATCTGAAACACTTAAACGTGAAGAAAAATAAATCTGAGGCAGGAATCATTTGTCTCAGTGCTATAAAAAGTAATTGTGGTCAGACATGTCTCATGATTTAATAGACGTCTGATGATTTGTTATTTTTAAAGAATTAATAAAGAAAGGCGTCTAGTTTCACCACTTTATCTTGCTTTTCTAGCTTGTTCTTAAAACCCCAACGATCCTGGATGTTATAAAAACTGTTGGGCTGTGAACACCACTCTTTATCTTTAGCATAGCTGATGTGACCCAAAAACAGCAAATATTTGTAGATTCTATGAAAACGATGTTAACAGTTAGCGTCTCACCTGCTGTTTGAACTAAGCCAGTTGGAGAAACTTAAATTAGTTCTCACCAGGCTAACGGCTAGCTTGAGTGGGCTGCTGTGGTTGAAGTCAAAAGGTTTGCATTCATGGTCATTTACATTTACAAATTTAATAGCTTGCTGGTGTAGCAGGAAGGCAGCTGTATTGCTGGTGTAGCAGGTATTCAAGCAGGTAAGCAGTTTGGCATTTAGCATTAGCATCCAACAAGCTACCATGGTCAATTGTAAGTTTTGAGACAGATAATTGGGTTTGGATTAGGCATTGTTACCAACTTGGAACTCTGGTTGTTTAAAAGTGTAAATATTCCTAGAAGCAGAGACAGAAAAAGATTTTTAGATGGCGGCAAGACACTTTGGTCAGACTAGCCGTTAGCTCATCAGTCTCAGGACAGGATATCATCCAGAATGGGCATGGACGTAATTTTCACTTTAGAAGTGTGTGTGTGTGTGTGGGGGGGGGGGGGGGGGGGGGGGACATGGGGGTGCGGGGTGGTGTATCTTTACAGTTTGCTCTAATGCAGGTGTGTCAAACTCATTTTAGCTCAGGGGCCACATTGAGGGAAATCTAGTGTCAAGTGGGCCGGCCCGGTAAATTAAAAACAACTTCAGATTGTTTTCTTTGTTTTAATACAATCAATATAAAACAAGGCTGAAGCCTGAGGACAGTGTATCCAAAATAGTACAACACCTGAAGTGTACTTGAAAATTTGAAAAAAATAAAAATTCAATAAATAAATAAAACATTCCTTAGCGATTCAAAGAGCTTACAGATCACATGGCAAGATCAGTTTCATGCAGCACTTAAAGTATATTTGACTCATTTTACTTTACATCTTTTAGCTTTCACCAGCACATCAATATCAGAAGTCACATCCTGAGTGGCGGCCAACTTCAGGATGTGATTCAAGTTCTTGTGTGAGCCTTGAGCGCAGCTTTGTTTTATTTATACTCATTACAGAGGAAACTTGCTCACAAAGATAAGTTTATTTTCACTCTACATTGTAAAGTATGAAAATAAAGTTTACACAACCATCTCGCAGGCTTAATTTAACCCGCTTGCGGGCCGGATCCGGCCCGCGGGCCACATGTTTGACACCCCTGCTCTAATGGAAAACAGGCTTCAACACAAATGGTTGTTTTCTGCTTGGTCCTAGAGCTCAACTAGTGTCAATTTAATATAGCATAATATTGCTTTGGGATGGTAAAAAGTGCAGTGGTCAAAACTTGTCTTTGGAAAAAGTGGGGGGGACATGTCCCCCCTGTCCCCCCAAAAAATTACGTCCATGAGAATGGGTAAGATTGTATTAATTTAAATATTAACCTTCCCAAACGGGCAAAATGTGTCTTAACGGGGCAGAAATGAAACACGATTTCTACTGTTTTCAGAAACTTAACTGTCCATTTTGTCTGTTCTAGTTGCCAGCGGAGTGCCGGGGGTTACCTTGGCCTCGATGACAGCTTCGGTGCAGGCCTGCAGCATGGTGAGGTGGTGGGCAAAGACCAGGAGCTTCAGCTGCTCAGCCTCCAACATCATCTTAATGTAGTCCTTCACGGCTCCCGCCTGGCCACACACACACACACACACACCCACACCCACATACCCACACCCACACACCCACACACCACACACACACACACACACACACACACACACACACACACACACACACACACACACACACACACACACACACACACACACACACACACACAGATGAAAGAGAGCCACTGAATCCATCACTGTGCTGCTCGACCGCACAGCGGCGAGATCAGTAAAGAAGTCAATTAATCACCGCTGCATCCTTTCTCTGTGATCGATTCACTATTGAATGTCTGGATCCAGACTTTAGGTGAGGAGAGCGTGCACGGCGACCGCGACACATTTGTCAGCTCACAGATAGTGAGAGCAAATCAATACCTCACAGGGTTGGAGATATGATTGGTGTGTGTGTGTGTGTGTGTGTGTGTGTGTGTGTGTGTGTGTGTGTGTGTGTGTGTGTGTGTGTGTTTCAATCTTCACACAAGAAAATCCACCTATTGATAACTGAACTGATAACAGGTTTATAACTAGGTCAGGCTCATGTTAGGTGTCAAACACTAGTAGTGAAACTGCAGATTAGACGACTGTTTTGACTTTTTGGTTGTTATTTATTTATTTATTTAAATATAAAATGAAGTATTTCTACATTAAAGTCAAAGTGAAAAGACAAATTTGTACAAGTCAAGAAAAAAGTTAAAAGATAGAAAACTAAGTCATTTGAGAAAAGTGATGAGAATAAAAAGGAAAGTTGAGATGAAGAAACAAAAAGTCTAAATGCCCAGAAAAACACTAAAAACTTCCCTAATTAAATATTTTGTTATGGGGAAAAAAAATTTGTGAAAATTTTTTTTCCAGAATATTTCCCAACTATTGCAAAAATGCTGGAATTTTACATTTAATCTCAATATTCTGAGCGGTGCAGGAGGTGTGATACGAGAGAAAGAAACGCAGATTGACTTTGGAACATTTTGAATACAACAACAAAAACTTGTGAAATTCTTCTCTCTGCTGCTTCATCATACAAGGTGTGTGTGTATGTATGTGTGTGTGTGTGTGTGTGTGTGTGTTTTACCAGATCACCGGGCCGCTGAGGAGATATTTTACCAGGTTTAGTGTGACATCATCGTTCTATTTTCTACGTTGAGTTGTGTCGCGGGGCTGAAGTTTCTCAACTGTTTTACTCCTAAGTTCCTGTTTCGACATACATAATGGGTTTTATTTTCCTCTTAACTGATGCAGTGGTAACAAAGCCTTAAACAGATCAGAGCTCACGCTCATAAACCGCTGAAGCCGTTGACCCTGACTGACAGCACGAAGCTAACGGCACCCTGCAGGTGTCTGAATCTATCACATTACTGCTACCCTCTGCCGTGGAGGAGCGCGTCACAGAGCATCCGGACTCGCCTCATTTGAGAGCTCCAGGACACCCCACCATCACACACACACACACACACACACACACACACACACACACACACACACACACACACACCCTGACACAGCTGAGAATAGCAGCATCTACTGAGGTTTGATTTAAGGCTAACAGAGTCCTTATGATACAGTTTGGGGAAGAGACCAGCTCCTGCAACCTGACAACCTCTGATGCCTTCACACCTGCTCAGGGGGGAGGGGAGCTGATAATTAGCAGCTGATAATGAATCAGTCCGCCAGGCCTGCCGACCCTGTTCTGATCAGAGGGGTCCTCATTACCGACGGCTCGCCGTCCTTCCGCTGAGTTTAATTAGTGCAGAAACTTGTGGGCCGTCGGACGCGGCCCATTATCTGGCTTTAAAGTCCGGCATCAGAGCCGTCCTCTCTGGGTAATTGGGAGCAGATGCTTGGCGGGTGAAGCAACACAAATACCCCAAAGGCGTTAGGCAGCCCTGTTGCCAGGCCGACTGGCAGTCAGGCAGGGCGCGCTGACGCTCCCTCAGAGCGACATAGATGTGCGAATCCATCACACCCCTCCACCCCTCCCCGTGATCCAAAAAAGAAAGATGGCAAGCTCCTGTTTTTTTCTAAAGTAGCTGAAGTGTGTCTGACTGGAGGAAGTGATAGGGCAGGAAATGAGGCTTCGTGGTGGACGGAGGTCCAGAGTTGAGCTCAACTGAGCAGAAATCCAATCAGTAAACAACACGGAGTTCAGAGAGGACCCGCGTTACCGTTATCTCCGGTATCTGTTCACCTCAGGGCGATGCTCCTCACGGCTCAGGGAGTTTCTCAGCGAATCGAGAGGAACGCCGCCCCTCGAAGGAAGCGGGTGTTGGTTTATTTACCTACTGACACACAAGAGGGCGGGAGTGCTTGTTCTCAGAACAGGACGCTTAGTGCGGGTGGAGATATGAATGGATGTTGGACTCTAGAGCCTCTGACCCTTTGAGCCACCCAAACACCTCCCCTCAGCGCTCATTTCTCTCTCATTAAAAATGCATCTCTTTAGAGCTGAGAGCGGGCCAGGTTTCCATGGCAACAGCATCACAGAGATGCTATTTTAGTGAGTGTGTAACTTTGATAGAAGGTGTAATCACAGTGGCTAAATAATAGCAACGCTATAACTCCCTACTTTGTCTAAGTGCTTTCGCTGCTGACCATTAGGCTCGGTTACCGTGGCAACGCTTTCCCAAGAGATCTCGCCGAGTGCTCGGCCGAGCACGCTGAGAATAATGCTGTGCCATCAATCCACCATTGTCCTGTAACATTAAAGCGGACGGAAGCTGTTTAAAGGATTTTCTCGCTATAAAAAGTGTTGTTGGACGATTAAGAGTCAGATGCAAATGATAAATGAAAGCGCTTTACACTACGGTGTATCATTCATCCCTTCACACACACACATTCACACTGTGGGGTCGTCAGACAGCTACATCTGTAGCATCTGATGGGGAATGGCTTCTATGGTGAGGAACAAACTGCATCAAACTCAAATAATCAAACACAGAATTAAATCATTTTCTTTGATAATGTTTAAAAAAATAGAAAAATTAGAGAAAGGTTAACCGAGGGTGGCAAAACGGCACAAAAGAAATGGTATACGTGTAAGGGGTTAATTTACATCTAATTAATGGAGCATAAGACATGAGATTCCATAATGAATAGGGAATAAATCTTGTGGACCTTCGGGTTATTTTAACCAGAAGATTGGGACTTTTTATGGCAGGGATTACGTAACACTTGCATTAACTGAGAGACAAGAGAAGAGAGAGTCACCTTTAAACGTTTAAGAACATTTATTTCTGAACAATTTTAAACAATTTAACTCTAAATTCTAAGTGATGAATGGATCTGGTGTAATGAGGCGTGAGATGGATGGTGTATGTGTGAGTGATGTTGTCATCAGAACTCTCGTATCCGGAGAAGCAAGTCTGGGTGATGAAGTGATGTTTTTCTCTTAAGCTATGATCGGAGTTTCATAAACACATGAGACGCCGTATTGTCGCTCCACACATACCCTTGAGATGAGACCTCCGTACAGATCCAGAATGCCGGGTCCTCGAACCCCCCTTTTGGTACTGGAGCCGATGAAACAGTGTCAGCAGTACGACAGACTAGCAGGGTTTCCCTTACATAGCCGCAGCCATGGCGGCCCGCCATGGCTGAAATCCCACCGCCACGCCTACAAGATCCCAAGTTTTTTTTTTGCGCCGTTTCCCGAAGAAGCAGCGGGAACTACTATGTTGTCGCTTGTGATCACAGCCGGCGGGCAGCAAGGAGGAGCAGGCAGGGCAAGGTGAAGTTACAGCATAAGTTACTGAGTTTTTGGTTTACATATTGCATTAAGATAAATGAGTGTTGACGATCTTGACAGGGTTTTCTCCAGTGCTTATTAGGCCAGGTTTTCCTCCCCCCACCAGGCTAATCATCACTTATTCACGTAAAATGTATTTATTTTTTCATGTCTGACTTTAACCGCATCTAATACTGTATTACGGCGTGAGCGCAACAGCGACAACTTAAGATCGATGTGTGAGCAGCCTGAGAGGTCGAGTGTTTCATCTGAACCCTTAAAACCTCCAGCAGGCTACGCTGCACTATTGACGTGTTAGCACGCGGCGCTAACAACTTAGAGACGTGACATGTCTTGGAGAAAGCGTAAAAACACGTTGGACGCTTCTTCTGAAGCGGTAAAATAACACCTCTTCTTAAGCAGAGCACGCCGTCGCCTTGGCTCGTTCACGGCCGAGCCGGTGTTGGTACAGGATCTGCTCGGGTGCAAGATCGGCTCGGGGTCCTTCGACTGCCGATGTACGGCAAACCCACTCGGACAAAATACACTACACATCTATACTGCTGGAAAGAATTTAGCAGTTTCGTTATTAAAATAATGCTTCTTAAGACGTAAGTTTGTGTTTATAATGGCATTTTGACGTCTTGTCCATGTGTAGTTCAGTTACGCTCATAGCTGCTAGCCAAAACTCTGGAGTTAAAAGTTTTCTGGCTTTACTAAAATACCTGTCTGTACTTATTTGATTGATGGTAGTTTTACTTTCTATTAGACTCCAAATGTAATCATTTGGCACGTTTCTAATTCATAATTTGTAAGAATGTAATCGGTGATATTAGCATTAGCATTCCTATGGGTTTTTCCACGTATATTAGCATTGCGCTAACCACTCCCTGCCAAATTGCAGCCTTTGCGATTAGAAAATCTCCTTTTGTCACATCGCAATTTAATTGCACATGCAGTTAATCGTTCAGCCCTAATATACATGCAGCTCTATGCTAAAAGTGTATTTTCAAAGAGGTAATGATGGATTTCTTTGTAAAAGTTGTCCATCTTTCCAACAGAAAAATTTGTCTGGACCAACTTAACGTGATAACAACGTAACATGATAACGTAATTCCGTAAGGTTCATGTTCAGCCAATCAACTACTTAGACGTCATCGGCAGTCGACGGACCCCGAGCCGATTTTGCACCCGAGCAGATCTTGTACCGACACCGGACTGAGCTCGAGAACATTGACCCAGCACAGCCACTGGGTCGTTGGAGCTGCCCCGTGACTGCCTGATGGAAAACCAGCGGGTT